AATCCTAGTGGCCTTATAGAAGAAAAAGTGTATTCTTTTTTAGAGGAAAATATCATTTAATTCATTGTCTACTTTATTTTTACATAAAATATCCAGCACACATTAAAAAAACAAAAAAAAAACAAAAACAAAAACCAAGACACACACAAAAAAAACAAGAAAATGTAACCTCTGGTCAAGAAAGATAAACATCAGTAGAACTCAATCAAGAAATAGCCCGATGTTAGAATTATCACAGTATGACAAAAATGCTAAAGGACTTAAAGAAGTGGAAACCAAGTATGAAGATATGAGCAACTTCAGAAAAGTGATAGAGAATGTAAAAAATGACAACAGAGAGGAAAGAAACTTGAAAGGAGATAGCATCCAAATTGTAAGACAAAGAGAAAAAATTATTTTAAAAATGGAGTATTTGAGACCTATGAAATAATGTCATGTGGTCTAACATTTGTATTATTGAAGTAATAAAAGGAGAGGAGAGAGAGAATGGGCAGAAACAATATTCAAAGAGATAATAGATGAGGATTTTCCAAAACTAATGAAAAATATCCACTTCCAGGTCCAAGAACTGCGGCCAACATCAAGCAGAGTGAACAGAAAGGAAAGTACATTCAGGCACCACATAGTCAAAATTCTGAAAACCAAATTTAGAAAGCAGACCTTGAAAGTATCCAGAAAAAAACAACAACCATGACATGCAGGGAGTTAAAATATGAACTACGCATGACTTTAATAAGAAAATAATGGAGATAGAAATAGAATGACATGTTTAAAGTGCCGAAAGAGGAAAAAGATCTGTCAGCCTAAAATTTTACATAGTGAAAATTATCTTTCAAATATGAATGTGAAATAAAGACGTCCTCATACAGACACAAGCTGAGAGACTTCGCCAAATTGCATTACAAGAAATGGTGTAAAAAGTTCTTGAGGCCAAAGAGAAATTATATATGATCTGCAAGAAGAACTAACACCAGAAAGGACAAATATCTGGGCAAATTAACAAGAGATATATTATATCTTAGTACCTTTATTATATACATATATTCCCAAAATATATGTATATTATATATATGTATATTATATACATATATTTTGACCTGAACCCCACAGGTCAGGCAGCGGGACCCCACCGGTGCACCAGGCCTCTTGTATAGTCATAAAATAGATAATATTATTTGAAGATAGACTGTAATTATTAAAGAGTCAAGTTATAATTTTGAGATCAACCACTACATTTAACATAGAGAAAAAGAGCTAGAAAGACAATCTAGGAATTTAAATGAAATATTAAAAAGACACCCATTTTGCCAAGACTGGTTTGGCTCAGTGGATGGAGCATCGGCCTGTGGACTGAAGGGTCCCAGGTTCGTTTCCGGTCAAGGGCATGTACCTTGGTTGCAGGCACATCCCCAGTGGTAGGTGTGCAGGAGGCAGCTGGTCGATGTTTCTCTCTCATCGATGTTTCTGACTATCTCTCTCCCTTCCTCTCTGTAAAATAATCAATAACAATATATTAAAAAAAAAAAAAAAGACACCCATTTTATTCCAAAGAAATCCGGAAACAGGCATAGAGAAACAAGTGATAGGAATGAATGAATGAAAAGAACTTCCCTCAACCACTATTATTGAACACTGAATGGCTTTGGAAGTAGCTTTTACTACAGACTTGATCATGGTTTTCGTGAACTCAACCTAAAACTGCAAGGCAAACTAGAGCTACGTGTGAAGCATATACTGCAGTTAAATCATTTTGATGCAACTAACATTGTTTGAGTCACAAATAATATCAATCTGCTTTATACACTTCCCATGCTGTCAAATGTTAAAACAAGAAACAAGGTTTCCATTCCGACACAAATTTGGAATTTATTTTTCTCTCAACTCAAACTGCCGTTCCAACAGTCATTTATGGATTTTGATGTCAGTAAAGAGGAAATTTCCATATTTCAAATCCACGTAACTGCAACTGAGGTGCTTCCACCCAACCTTCAATTGGAAGTGATTAATCTGCAATGCAATGGCATGCTAAAGGGGAAACGCTAAGAGAATGTACAGAATTCTAATTGCATAAATGTCTTCTAAGCCATAAACATGCTCAAGAAAATCATATGTCCATGGGTTGATATATTTGATAGTACCAATCTGGGTGGATAGATATTTCCAAAAATGAAATACATAAACTCTCCTTACAGATCAGCATTAACAGATAAACATTTCAGTTTTGATGATAGAGAACACTTTGAATTGGGCCTTAACTTAGTGAAACGCTATCCCCCCCTCAAAAAAAAAAAGAAAAAAGAGTTCCATTCCTCTTATCATTAGACCTGCATTGCAATTGTTATTACTATTACATTTTTGTCAATTAAAAGTGATGGATATTTGTTTCTCTCTTGTTGTATAAGTATCTACTTAATGTCAACTTATATAAGTATCTACTCTGTGCACAAAGCCTAAAGTATTTATGATCGGCCCCTTCTCAACAAGAAATTGTCCATCCCTAGTCTAAAGCAGTGTTTGCCACGGTTGCTACTCTGTATTTTGCTTTGGAACTACATACATTCTAATTCAAACTGCTACTTGAGTGAGTCGCTTGGAGAAGATGAGGCGATATAGAGGGAAGTTGAGAGCTGTTTCAGTCCTGAGGTCAAATAATTAAAGCTAACATTAATGGAGCACATACGATGTGTAACACACACTCAGGTAATTGAGCACTTTGCATGCGTTTTGCTCATTTCATACAAGAATCCTGTGAGGTGGGTACTGTTCCCCATCCCTATTTGATAGAAGCTGAGGGCCAGTTGCCAACTGCCACATTGATAAGTAAATGAAGCCGAGGTTTATAGGATTTAACCCAGCAACAGGGCATCAGAACCAGTATCTGCAACGTCAGTCCATGGGTCAAAGGCAGATAGACAGGTAATTGCCAGGGCGGGGAGGCAGCCGGTGATCCAAGAGGCATTGGTGAGGGCCGGAGCTCTCCTGGGGAGGACAGGTCAACCAGGTGACAAAAGCTGCTGAGGTCCTTGGGGGTGAGAAACACCCATTACCCCCACCTTCCCAGGAACAGGACTGCTTCCCACCCCGACCCCTTTAATAAATTCTGGTTCAGAGTGTTCTGATGAGCGTGTGAAAAAGTGTGAACTTTTGGAGAAGTGCAGGACAGCAGGTATGATGGGGAGGATCTTGGGAAATCTGCTCTGGTCTCTACGTGTACACACACGCACACACACACACTACATCCATCCATCCATCCATCCATCCATCCATCCATCCGTATCTTTATAGTTGCAACATGACACACATCCACACATTAAGACCCTATGTCTGCGTTAGCAGGGCTTAGCATTGAACATTATAATGCTCTGTCTTCTGAAGCGGACAGTCAAGAGCGTTTCCGGAGCCCATACCTAATAAAAACAATAAGGCTTCCAGTGGTTCTCAACCTTCTGGCCCTTTAAATACAGTTCCTCATGTTGTGACCCAACCATAACATTATTTTCGTTGCTACTTCATAACTGTAATGTTGCTACTGGTATGAATGGTAATGTAAAAATCTGATATGCAGGACGGTCTTAGGCGACCCCTGTGAAAGGGTCGTTCGACCGCCACAGGGGTCGCGACCCACAGGTTGAGAACCGCTGCAAGCGGACCACCTGTACTCGGGGCTGACGCCCGCAGCCCGCACCGACCCCTCTCCCCGCTCGATGGTTTTCCCAGGCATCGCTCGCCCCCGGGCAGGAGCGCGGAGTGCGCCCCAGACGAGGGCGGTCCCAGCGCTGTGGTCCCTCCCCGGGAGGGCCATTATCTTCAGGAACCCGTCCCGTCCACCGGGCAGTCAAGTCACCTCGTTCGGTTGGTAGCGACCGCTATTTCTTTAAATGGACAGAGTCTGTCGCCACGGGGAGGAAGGGAGGTCAGGAAAAGGAACTCAACTGCCTGCGATAACTGCCCCGCAGCCTTCCCGTCCCCGGGACGCGTGCTCCGCGGGGGAAGCGCCGGCGGCGGCCGTTGCCCGGGGCGGGCGGGCTCGCGCCTCCACGTTTCGGGGCGCCCACCTCGGCGGCGAGCCCCCTTCCCCCCCAGCCCCGGCCCCGTTGCCCGCGGGCTTTGTCTGGGGCGCCGCGCTCGGGCGCCCGCTCGCCCACAGCTCCCGGTGCGCAGGCTGTAACCCGAGCTCCCATTTCCTGGTGGATTCTCTTAAAGAGGCCGCGGCCGCCGAGCAGAACAAAGGCTATTGTCTTATTTCCTCCCTCGGATCCGCGTCCTTCCCGGAATGCCCCTTCCTAAACGGAGTTCCTCGCGCGCCTCTGCGTTCGGGGGCGGGGGGCACCTTGTGCACGTGAAGGTAGCAAAGAGACGGAGCCGGGGAAGGTGGGGGCCGTTTAATAAACCTGCTTTGTCGTTTCCGGGGCCCCGGTGTAACGTTTTTTTCAACCGCGTCTTCCTGGAGCGAGGCGATGGTTGGGCTCAGCCTGGGAAGCCCGGCTCCCGGGCCGGCGGAGGGGCGCGGCGGGGAGGGCGGGCGCCCGCGCCGGGGCCGCGCGGCGGTGGGTGGGCTGGGAGCGCCGCCCGCCTCGCCCGCAGCCCGGCCCCGCGAGTCCCCGCTCCCCGGGCTTCCTCCGCCCGCCGCGCCCCTCCCCCCGGCCGGCTTTTATTTCCCCGATGCCGGGCTGTAACCCGAGCTTTTATTTCCTGGTGGCTCCTTTAAGAGACCGAGCGCAGTGCTGGGAATCCGCGTCAGTTTCTGCCCTGAAACTCTCCAGATCAATGAGCAGAGAGCTTTCTCAGTTCTGCCTTTCAGTTTCTCTCTTCCAGGAAGGAAAACATTCGAGAGAGAGAGCGAGCGAGCGAGCGAGCGAGCGAGGGCGAGCGGCGGGAGGCGGGGGGCGGGGGCGCCGGCCGCGGGTGGGAGGAGAGAGCGGGAGGCCGGCCGGGCTGCGCCCCGGGTCGCCGCGCCGCCGCGCCGTGACCTGCAGACCCCGCCGCCGCGCTCGGCCCGGCTCCCACGCCCCCGCCGCCCCGCGCGCCCACTCCGCCGGCCGCCCCGCCCGCCCCGCGCGCTCGCAGGACCCCCCGGGGCGGCTGCCGGGAGAGATGCTGGAAGAAACTTCTTAAATGACCGCGTCCGGCTGGCCGTGGAGCGTTTCTGGGTTGGGGAGAGGAAAGGAAAGTGGAAAAAAACTGAGAACTTCCTGATCTCTCTCGCTGTGAGACATGTCTGAGACTCCTGCTCAGTGTAGCATTAAGGTAAAGATCGTCTCCCCCTCCCTCTGCGGGACCCGAACCCCGGCGCCGCACCGGCCCCGCGCGGCGGTGCCGGGTGCTTCCGAGGGGGCTGTTGCAGCCGCTCTGCTCGCACTCTGTGGTTCGGGGCGCCCGGGCAGGAGCTGCGGCTCGCGGCGGCGGCTGCGGTACCCTTTCGTGTAACCTTGCTACTCGTCCCCCTCCCCCGCGCCGAGCCCCCTGGAGGCTCCCTCGCCCCCAACCCACCCCCTTTCTTTTTGACAATGAGATGTTGCCCGTCACAGTTGGTCAGGAGGAGCCCGAGTGGTCTCCAACTGGAAAACACCCCCGTAATTAGTGCGCTTAAAAAAAAAACCCGAAAAACTAAAACCTGCTCCCTACTCCTACTCCCAACATGTGACCGACATGTAACTTTTGTTCCCGAGGGTGGTCTCCTTAGCAAAAAAAAAATAATGTCTCCAGCCCCTTATAGGGATGGAATAATTTATTTATTTATTTATTTAAAGGGCTCCCTGGGTCTGATCAGACAGGATTTACCCCCCTTCTCCTCGGATGGTAATTGCAAGCGCTTGTCGGAGAGACAGCCCTGGTGTCAGCTTTTCCTGGGCATTGCACAATGAATGTTTTTCTTTCTTTTTCTTTTCTTTTTTTTTTTTTGAAACCAAGGTGAATAAAGTTGCTGAATGGTTATTTTGCTCTGATGCATATGAAAGTTGAACAGTCCCAAAGTAGAAAACTCTCCCTGTGATGCAGGCAGAGAGGGAATTCTCTAAGTGAAGCGGAATGACCTTCCGTGTTTGACAGTGCGGAGAGGATACGGGAGGGTAGAAATCTCGGGGCTTTCTGGCCATGTTTAGCTGGACTGTCCATGCAGGAGAGTGGACATTTGCAAACACTTACAGGTAGTTGTGTGTGTGCGCATCTGTCCGTCTGCCGATCTATCTAGGCTGGTGGTGCTGTGGTTTGTTGCTTCTCAGAAGTTGTTGGAAAGTTTGCCACCCCGGGGGGAGTCAGAATGATGTGCCCCTCTCCCCCAGTTATTTTTCCCGTGGCTGCATTTCTCGTGCACTTTATACTTTATTTATTTCATGGTTCCATCAGCACCCAGGTGGAAAAGCCTTCTGCTTCTGTGAGAGCCTGAAGCTGCTGAAGTTTGGTTTTTGGTTTGGCCCATTTAGTGTGCGTTCATTGAGTGGACACTGCAGAAACAATGAACAAATAACCCGTGTTCTTCATCTGTGGGGAATTAGAAGAATCTTTCGCATTTGAACACAGCTTTCCCACTAGGATCTGTTTAGAGGAAACACAGTATTTTATCATATCGGCTTACTAGGTTTTCCTACTTATATTCAGATTGTAGTGTTTCTTATCAGGAAAGATTTTCATGGATTTGAAGTAGGGCTAATGTGGACTGAAAAGGTGGGTTGGGTTTCTTTGTTTTTTGCCTCACAAAAAATGCCCAGTGGAACTTTCAGGCTTCTGTGTTTGTACATCCCTGGGGGCAGCAGTACTTCTGTGATGGAGCAGGGGTGTGAGAATAAAGAAGTTAGGGTACTTGGATACTTTGAAACCAGTTTCTTTTGCTCTGTAAATTAGACTCCTCATCAAGTTCAGGGAAATATTACCTTATGGTTAATCTAATTTATTTGACACTTCATAGTACAAACACAGGCAACTAAATAATAGGATATTAAATCCCGTAAATTGTATTTAGAGCGCCAGTAAATCTGACATCGAAAAACTTGGGCTAACGATGGGCTTTAGGGTGAAACAGAAAAAAAAAATCCTTTCTGTGACTTTTCTTGGTACTTCTAAAGAGACTATCATTCCCACTGTTGTGATGGGCTCATGTTCGTGTGCTGCAGGCCCGAGTCCTACCAAGTGGCTCATTTCACTGTATTTTAGTGGGAAAAGAGTGTGGCGGCCCCATTCCGTACCCACACATTCAGAACCGATCACAAATCCAGACAAAACACTTTCTTAAATGTGACATAAAAATTGCAGCCCTAGTTTGCATATCATTTCTTTCCTCATTGCTTACCCTCTGAGTTATTTTTAGGTGCCCCTTTTCCTGATTGTATTTCTGTGTAATTAAAATAAATTTAATGTTCTTCACTAGTAACAGAAGTATCTCTCTCTTTTTTTTTTTTTTTGGATTGTTCTTTATGGAACAAGTATACAGACTTACTGACTTCCTAGACTGTGAATCTGTGTCGGCGCACGTATGTGAAGTGTATTTTTCCGAGGAGTTTGTTTAATTCACAATGTTCCAATAACAAGCGCTGGAGATGAAGGAGCGGGATTATTCCAGGTCATCTGAAAATGTCCTGGCGATGTGCGCAGTGTTTCATTTAGTCTTTGGGATGTGGTACAGTGCATAATAAGATGTTTGCTGGTAACCCACAAGCAAGTCCTGGGGCTGCTACTAGAGTCTGGCACACAAAAACTTTTCTGTGGAGTGGAGAGTGGATGTCAGAAGCTTTCAAGGATGAACTGATGAATCAGATGTGCTGGAGACATGTGACAGGGAAGGTCTGTGTATGTGGGGAGATTTCCCTTGCCCCTCCCTGCTGAAACTTTCCTCACTTGCTCTCTCTCCTGCCTTACAAGCAGCTGGTCAGCAGGTAGGCAGTCCCTCAGCGGCTGGGGTGATGGAGCACAGGGCGGCCTGACCAGGGGCAGACACAGAGGGAAGGACTTTGTTTACTTGTGAGCGGTGTCTGTTCTACTAGAAAAGAGAAGTGTACCATTTAGGTGGAATTTCCAAGGTGAAAGTTTCTGAGTCAGTCAGTGACCCCTTTGTAAGCAGTGCTACTCTGTGGTGCTGGTGGCCAATGAATGCCTGATACTGGCGTTTATATTCCTTCTGTGCTTTCTAAGCATGTGATCGTCACCTCGGGGAGTTAATATCAGACCCAGGTTTCACAGGAGAAGACAGGCTGACCAGCTCAAGGTCACCAAAAACTATCACTGAGCCCCACTCTCTCAGCATTGGGCTGCCCGCATGTGTAGCGGCACTCTCTTCAAGAGAAGTTAAATGCTTAAATTTCTGACCATTTGGGGTTGTTTAAACGTAAGAACAGTGACAACTAACTACATAAGAAGTGCAATGATTCACCGCCCCCCCGCCCCAGGATTGAGCTTGCTGGTCACAGGAGGAAGGAAGAGGCTGTCTTTTCCATCATCAGCCTTCACCTTCAAGTCACCTGTTCAGTTTTAAGTTCAGCCAAGTTGCAGCGGAAAGTGGTTATGGCCCAGTAGACACAGTCCTCCAGGAGGCTTGGCACGGCTCTTTCGTCGGGAAGGGCTGTCCAGAAAACAAAACCTAATCATATAACTTCCCTGGTCCCCCCCTTCCCTGCCCTCTGTACTGGTTGGTTTTCTTAGCTGAGGAAATCTCCTTTTATTTTGCTGCTAACGGGGAGACTCTCTGGGTTTCTCCTGTTGGACTCTGAGCTCCTTGAGTTTAGTTGTGATTAACTTTGTGTCCTAGTACCTATCTTGGCACGGGGCACAGAAATGTTTCTCAGTAATGTTTGCTGATTTGAAGAAAGGCATGGGACGAGGTCATTGCCCTTTCCGCTGCCTGTCCCTGTGCACCTCAGGGTGACTTAACACCTTCACCTACTAGTTTGCATGAAATATTTAAAGAGGACACCTACAGCACTCCCTGGGTGTCTGTCCAAAAAGAATCACCAGTGGACTTTTGGTATAATGATCATGTTTTATTATTTTGATAAAAATTTTTAAGACTATTTTGGTGTCTAAACAGAGAGACCAAAATAAAAGGACGTGAGTCAAAGACGCAGCAAAGGGACTTAGGAATAACGTTAGAAGGTTCAATATAGCAGGCTCTGTTTCCCCCAGTTTCTTGTCAGTCGAATCAGGGAACTTTCAGAGCTGAAAGACCTTAGTGATCACCTGGGCCAACGCCCTATTTTTGTAGAGAGGAGGTCCAGAGGGCTGAATGGTTTGCTTCAGCTGATTGCTGACCGAGCCAGGTTTAGAGCCACACTGGCCTCCTGGTTCTCAGCCCTATAAAAGGCCAAGGAAATTCGATACAATAGGTCGCACCCTCTCTGGCACTTCCTAGCTTGGTCCATTTTAATCACAAGCCAGCTGGTATGAGGGCGCGGAGGGCATGGAAGATGGTGTGTGGGGGAAACGTTGGGCCGGCCGAGAGGGCATATTGTTAGATGTGAGGAGAGGAAGGAGTAGGAGTAGGGGCTGAGGGAAGAACGGCTCGATGGACTTGTATTGATGCACCATTTGCAGCAATAATTTTTTTTTGTTATGGTACCAAACACATAACGTTAAATTTACCCCCTTATCCATTTTAAGTGTACGGTTCAGTGGTGTTAAGTATAGTCACATTGTTGTGCAACAGATCTCCAGAACTTTGTCATCTTGCAACACTGAAATTCTATACCCAGCAAACATTAATTTCCCCTCTTTTCCTCCCAGCCGTTGGTAACCACCTTTTTCCTTTTCTGTTTCTATGATTTTGACTATGTTAGATACTTCATATGAGGGGAACCATACATTATTTTTATTTTACTTAGCATAATATCCTTGAGGCTCATCAATGTTATAGCATGAGACAGGACTTCCTTTTTTTTTTTTTTTTTTTTTTTTTTAAGGCTGCACAATATTCAAATTTTGTGGAGATGCCACATTTTCTTTATCTATTCATCTGTTGATGGACACTGGTTTACTCCCAGCTCATGACTGTTGTGAATGAAGCTGTGGTGGACAAGAGTGCGCAAATCTCTTTGAGATCCCATGTTGAGTTCTTTGGATATATATACCCAAAGATGGGATGGGCGGGATACAACATTACTTTTTACAGCGTGTGAGGGACTGATACTGCTGCTCTGAGCTGAGGGCACTAGACCTGTAATCAGAACTGAGGAATCCTTGAGTGGACCAGAGGCTCCTTTAACCAGGGGCAGCCAAACTTGCACCTCAGTTTATGTGTGGTGAGCTCCCTGTTGCAAACAGTA